TGGGGGGCGGACGTTTTAAGGAAATAGAGGAAAACCCCGCGTGCCGGAAACGCTGGGCTCCCTCGGACGTTCCCCCGATTTATGGATTTGTACGCAACCCCGGTCCTGTAATTAACGGTACGCCGAACTCGCTTCTTTCGGGGATTGCGAAGGATGCTGGAGCGTAAACCGAAGGAGTGGGCCCGCCCAGGAGCGAGTTTAGCGTGTCGTGCAAGTAGCGCTTCAAAGTCTTTGACTGGCCGCATCGTGCGTGTTACACGGGTGCTGCGGGGAGGGGGGGCAGTTCTCCCATCCCTGCTGCCTGGACCAGGTCACACTGCCTCTCCGCCATCCTCTCAGCCTCACGGGCTCCTGGTTTGTCTTTCCAGTTTCCCTACGTAACCCCAGCACCTCACGAGCCGGTGAAGACCCTTCGAAGCCTGGTGAACATCCGCAAAGACTCCCTGCGTCTGGTCAGGTACTTAGAAGCAAACTGTTCTTCCGGCACCCGCGATTCCCGGTCTGTTTCGGCTGGAGGAGCTTAAAATGCAGGTTGCGTGGTCCTACCCCTGCAGCGAATGCCAGGCCTGCGTGTTCGATTTACGTAGGAGGAATTTGCTTTGTAAAGGAGTTCCCCTGCCTTGTTCTTGATTCCTTCCAAATTACACCCTTATTTTTCAAGACGAGCTCCCGACTGGCGGACGTCTGGCTAAACAGATTGTTTTGGTTTGAGCTGCAGAGTTCCACGCGATTGACCCTTGCGCTGTATAGCTTTTAAGATTGACTTCAGGGGCTCTTCCTGTTCTCTGAATGGCCTGTCATAAGTGGTCAGGCAGCTGGGAGTTGCACTGGTTAATTGGGAAGGAAGCAACTGAGAGGCCCAAGCTGAGGGACCAGCAGAATCCTGGCAGAGAAATTAAGTGAAAATGAAAGGTGAGACGGCCATCGATGCTGAACGTGGATTTTGTCCTCAGCTATTAAAAAAAAAAGTATTTTGTCTGTTCTCGTCACTATTTTGTATTGTAATCCCTTTCAAAAAAAAGTAAGTAACAATGCTAAAGAAATCTTTGGAGCCACTTTAGAAGAGATTGCCAACGGCATAATTACGAGGGGTGATTACTGTTGCTGCTGCAGTACTTGTAAAGGTGTGAGAAGCGTAAGGAGACTCAGAGAGTTCAGCGGCTAAATCGAACTTTTGCTCATCGAGAAGATGCAGTGGGAAAGTTTCACTGTTGTGCCTCTGCTGACTCAGTCTTCCTTGGTGCAGGTATAAAGAAGATGCTGATAGCCCCACAGAGGAGAACGGGAAGCAGAAAGCTTTGTACAGTCTTGAGTTCACCTTTGACGCCGATGCCCGGGTTGCCATCACCATCTACTGCCAAGCAACAGAGGAACTGATCAGTGGCATGGCTGTGTAAGCACAGGAGGCTGTGGTGTTGGACGATGAATGGGCCTGTCAAATCTAACTTTGGCCCAAGTCCTGTTTCTTTTGGTGGCATGACATGTTTAGGGATGTGAATGTTGCTCACCTGGCCACAACTGACCAGTGGCAGCCCCCAGGCTCATTTGCAGAGTCTGTCCTTCTGTCTGTAGAGGAATTGGGAGTCAAATTAGGAGGGAATTGGGTCCCCACCGGCCCAGGGAGAGCCAAGCCTGCTTACTGGGATGGTGACTCTGGCCTTTGCCCTTCCCCTGTAGCTACAGCACAAGGAACCCTGCTCTGCAGTCGGAGACGGTGCACTACAAACGAGGGGTCGGCCAGCAGTTCTCGCTGCCCTCCTTCAGGATTGACTTCTCCAACTGGAAGGATGAAGAGGTGTCTCTCCCTGCCTTCCAGCTGTTTCCCGAGGAGACCAGAGTCAGGGCGTTTTGCTTTGCGACCTGGCGTAGATTTGGCTTCCTGTGTGTGTTCTTGAGGGCTTGAATGCCAAGCAGTTCGGTTCGTTTGGCACCAGAGCCAACTGGCCTGGCTGCCGTGAAATCCGTCTGGGCTGCTGGGAACCACAGAGAGGAGCTGAGAGGGCAGGAAGGCAAGCCGTTGCCTGGCCTTGCTTACCTTGGCCACGGACTCCGTTCCCTCTTTGAGGAGCGATTCTGCCCCCCCCATCCACAAGCAGGAGAGCGAGTGGGCGAGCGGCACACACTCCGATGCCTGTGAGAGAAATGTCCTGTTGAGCTCCCAGCGTGTTGCTCATCTGCTCTTGCCCTTTCCTTCCAGCTGAACTTCGACCTGGACCGGGGTATTTTTCCAGTGGTCATCCAAGCCGTAGTAGATGAAGGCGATGGTATGGATCAGAGTCCTGTCTGCAGTTGGGCAGTTCCTCTTGGGGCTGATGCCCGTCTCTCTGGCTCTGGCTGGGCCAGGTGGGGGGCTGAAAAGGAGGGCCAGAGGGGTCTAAAGAGTGCCACCCTCTTAATAGTTTGGGATGCTTGGAAAGAAAGGCGGGCTTTCCCATTCAGCCAGCCTCCTGCACTCCTGCAGAGAGCCATCCCAGCTGCTGGACTGAGCTGCTCCCTTAAGTCCTTGGGCTTTGAAAAGCTGGGGGGGGGGTCCCTTTTGCCCCTTATCCCAGGAAGGGAACCCCTTGCCTCCTGGTCTTGACTGAAAATCCAAGTGGTCTCGAGCAGAGGTTTCACCTGGGGGAAGGGTTGCCTCATCCCGGCCAGAGGCTGCAGTTGCCCCAGTGCTGGACTCCCTGCCCTTCTCACCGGCATGTAATTGCCTCCTAGTTGTTGTGGAAGTGACTGGCCACGCCCACATCCTCCTGGCTGCCTTCGAAAAGGTAAGAGCTTGGCTTACAGGCCTCTGGATCCTTCTCCTCCTCTTGTCCTGAGGCAGCCTGCCTTAGCTTTGACGGGCACCTTTAACTCCAGAGGGCGGTGCAGCATAACATCTGGAGAAGCGGGGATCTGCGTTCTAGGCATTGCAGGTGTAAATTGGGTTGGGTTTCTTCTTCATAATCCAAGGGGTGTTTCGCCTCTGCTTTTTCGTGCTGTAGATGGAAACATTTGCATCTCCTGAGCTTTGGGTCTTGTAATACTGCAAATTCAGGACTCTGCAGCAACCCCAGAAACCGGGTTGGGGGGTTTCCTTCGCAAGCAACTTGGGCCACTTCTATTCTCTTCAGGCAGGCTTATCTGTGTCTCTTTTCTCTTGCTCACTAGCATGTCGATGGTAGTTTTTCCGTAAAGCCCTTGAAACAAAAGCAAATTGTAAGTCTTTCTGCAGTTCTGGGGGGCTGGGAACTGCTCCAGGGAAGCCCTCCCCCCTTGTTCCCTTATTACCTGGCTTCTGTAGGGCAGCAAGGGGTACCGTGGACTTCTGGCCCCGCAGCTGGGAAGCGCTGTCGGGTGGCCGGTGGCGGGAAATGCCCAGACTGCCCTCCGGTCCGAGCCAGGCTGCTGTTCCAGAGCTGCTGAGCAGAGAGGGCTGGGCTTGACACCGGAGAGGAGGTGCAGGATCCTCTTGGATCTTTGGGGGGAACTTTTGGAGGCAGTTAATGCTGTCCTTTTCAAAGCTCCCTTTGCTGCTGGACCTGAGCTTGGCCTCCTTCTCATTATAACTTTGAAAGGGCCTTCAAGCATTTATTTTGACCCAAATCTTGGGGGGTTTATTTAGAGCCTTAAAAAGTTTTTTTAGCTGGGTTTTAGTCATTTTTATTGTAAACAAGAACCTGGAATGTGCTTGGAATGGGCACAGGTACCTTCGCGTTCTTACAATGCCAAAGTACTGGCCTGCTTGTCCTGCCCCCCCCCCCCCGCAGGTGGACCGGGTGAGTTACCTGCTGCAGGAGATCTATGGCATCGAGAACAAGAATAACCAAGAGACCAAGGTAGGGAAGGAGCAATCCTGGGGCACTCGGGAGCCCCTTTCAGCCCAGGGACAAAGCACCGTTAGTTCTCCCTGGGCTTCTTGGTCTGCGCAGAGAAGAATTTCCCTCTGGGGTGGGAGGAGGGCTCAAGGTTCCTGATTCCTCTGCCCCCACTGCCACTGCTGCTCAGGGGCTTGTCAGCTGGAGGCTCCGGCCGGACCGAGGGGACCCTGCTCTTCTCACTGCAGGGGCTCCGGGTCCAGCTGCATCCGTCAGAGCTCTCAGTAGATGCAGGTGTAGGAAAGCAAGGGAGCTCTCAGCTAATGAGTCCCCCATCCCCTGACAGCCCTGCGATGACGAGAACAGCGACAACAGCAACGAGTGTGTGGTGTGTCTATCAGACCTGCGGGACACTCTCATCCTGCCCTGCAGGCACCTCTGTCTGTGCAACTCCTGTGCCGACACCCTGCGCTACCAGGCCAACAACTGTCCCATCTGCCGTTTGCGTACGTAGGCGGGAGGGGCAGGGCAAGGAACCCGGGCGATCGCAGCGGTCTCATTTGCTTTGGGTATGCTTGAGACCTGCCCGACGGGGCTGCCTGGGGCACTGTCCTGCAAATTCCCTGGGGAGCCAAAGAGCGGGTCCCCCTTCGGATGTACAGCAGGGGCTCCCTGAAAGGGCAGTAGTCCCCAACCGGTCTGACCCCTTTGCTGCCCCCGATGTCCTCAGCCAGTGAGTGCTTTGGGCGCCTGACGCCTCAGAGGAAAAACATGGGCGCAGAAGAGCAAAATGACCTCTCTTACGTTCCCGCACAGCTTTCCGTGCGCTGCTGCAGATCCGGGCAGTGAGGAAGAAGCCAGGAGCCTTGTCACCACTCTCCTTCAGCCCTGTCCTGGCACAGACCCTGGATCGCGAGGAGCATTCGGTAAGCCAGACCTCCTGCAGGACCCCCCGCCCCTCGTCTAGGTCGGCACTCCCGCCACAGCCAGGCTCACTCACCGCCCCTTCTCTTCTCCACACACTTTGAAATGCTTCCGCCAGGTTATTGCCGTTCAGTTTCCACAACTTGCCTCTGTCAACACAGAGGTTGTATTCCTTGTCTGGAAACATTGCTGTGAAAATGGCAGGAGGCAGAGAAAACCCCCCTGTAACTCATGAGTCAAACTGCAGGGCATCTGCTAAGCAGCTCTGGAGAGCACAGGAAGTGCTTTTTGGAAAGAGAGGAAGTTTGGGATGCTAAGTTTGTTTTTTTTTTTTTTTAACTTTGCTGTGTTTTAGCCCCTATGTGAGGTTTTTATTCTCGATGTTTCTGGCCAGCTTGAGGGTTGCCCTTAAAGGTGGGGCATAAATCTGTGTTATAAATCCAGGCTCTGGCAATGTCTTTGTGTGGTTGCGAGAGCAGAGCTAGCAAGGTGCGGACCTCGTTCACAAGCGGTGGCTGTCCCCGCTTGGCTCCCCCCACAGTGCTCAGACAACATCCCTCCAGGGTACGAGCCCATCTCCCTGCTGGAAGCCCTGAACGGCCTGCGGTCTGTCTCGCCGTCCATCCCATCGGCTCCCCTCTATGACGAGATCAGCTACACCGGGGTGCTGGATGGCCTCCCTCCCTCCAGCAGGCCCCTCGGGGGGCTCGACCGAGGCACGGAGAGCAGCCACCAGAAGACCAAGCGCAGCAAGTCTCCGGACAGGTGAGCAGTCAAGGGCCGGCCCACGCCTGGGGGATCCCGCAGACCCCTCCCACTTCCTTAGGGGGGTAGGAATGTTGGCTTTTCCTTTGGGTTGGTCTCTGCGGTGCCTGTGGCGCTGTCTGCTGGAAGAGCTGGACCCCTGCCTTGGAAGCCCCGAGGGCTCAGGGGGAACCACGCCTCGTGGCAGACACACGAACAGCAGCTTGCACGCACCATCCACCACGTACCACCAGCCGGGTTAGGTTAGACGGTAAAGAGGAGGTTGATGTGGCAGCTTTCCCTTGTGGCCACTACAGCCCTCCCTCCACCCCACCTGCAGTGCTCTCCGGTCCCCCTCTTCCCCAATCCACGAGGAGGACGAGGAGAAGTTCTCAGAAGACTTGGAGCTGGAGCCTCCTCTTGCTGGGACTGAGCATATCTTGCGGGAAGACAGCTCTCCAGAAGTGAGTGTGTCTCTGTGTTTTGGAAAAGCTCTCTGTATCCTCTTCTTCATTGGCAGTCTGCTGTGAGCCCAGCCACACGGCTTGTGGGACGGCGGCCGCAGCCGGGGAATATGTCGGGGAAGGCACCACAGCAGCAGCCGTGGGCGTCTTGGCACTTTCCCATGGCTGAGGCTCTGCACCCCCTGGAAACACCCCCAGGCTCTCCTCGTGCCTGCTCCGTGCACTCCCTGACCAAGGAAGGTAGTTCCCGTGGAGACCGTGAACATGAGCAGATTGGGAGTAATAAGATCAAAGAGGATCTGTTTCCCATGAGAGCATCATCCCTGGAGTTCTTGGGTGGTGCCTCCCCCATTTCCAGCAGATCTTCCCCACTTCCTTGGGTCCGCAGCCCAGGTCCAGGCTGAAGCTGAAGCTGAAGGGGCAGGTGGTGGCTTTCCCAGGGCTTGAAGTCCTCCCCGAGGGTTGCGGGAGGCCCTTCTGGCAGGAATTGGTGAGGTTTTTCCCTTGCGCTTTGGATGCGTTTTCTTTGGCAAAGTGGACATGGACACGCAAAATAAAACAAAATATTGGAGCGGTAGAGTTCCCTATCTGACAGAGATCCCTGGTTTACACTCGACGTGAGGAACAGAGCTAAGCCTGCCCTGTTCTCCTGTCCTCCAGAGCCTGGCAGCTGAAGAAGCTGAGGTGGTGGCCCCACTGCCACAAGGTAAGCCCCACTGGGGACTCTGGGCAGGCACATTAGGGCTGGACGCATGCTTGGTGTGATGGCTGCAGGAGGACAGATGATTCCCCCTTGTGGAGCTGAGCCCCAAAGGGGCCTTGAGGAAAACCAGGATGGGAGCAAGAGACGGAGGACCAGGATCTCTAGGCAGGGAAGCACACTGGGCCAGTGGGAGGCTTCTAGGCAGCCACAGGGCACCGGGTTGGGCCTGCTTCAGCTTGTCCCGTTCCAGGCGGCTTCCTCTGCTGTCCTCTAGGTAGCCAGCCTCCCTCCGTGGAGGACATTGTCCAGGAGAGCAGCAAAACCTGTGAGGCCAAGATCCGGAAAATGGAGAGTGAGCTGCCTCCCGACATCTCCCTGCCAGGTAATGGCCCACAGGGCGCCCAAGGAGCCCAGCCTGGGGTTCTGGTGCTCCTTCCTTGCAGCTGGGAGGGAAGAGCCCACTTCTCTGCCCCTTCCTTCTCCTGCTTTCCTGCCTTCTATAACTCCCTGGGGGCTGCAGGTGGGAGAGCTGGGTCTGTTCCCTGGGCCCACCTGGCCTTTTTCCACAAGGAAGATCAAGCCCCACACAGATGCCTTGCAGATCAACATAAGAGATCCTGGCAGAGGAAACACCCCAGGATGGGCCTGGCACATGCCTTCGTGGTCTGGAGAGGGCGGGAAGCGGTGGTTTAAAGATGGCCTGGTCCAGCAACTGCTTACGGGCAGGGTGGGGGCAGATGGGACCTGCTCCCCATTCTAGTGCCATGCATGGCCAGGCAAGGGGCGTCATCTGTTCTGAGCACTTTTTTTCTAATGTCTCCCTCCTTTCTGTCTGCCCCCCCCGGCCCCGCCCCACCTGGGCAGCCCTTGGCCTGGACGCCTGCTCTGTTGGGATAGAGGAGTAAGCCGGTACGTCTTCTCTTTCCTTCCTGTGTGTCAGCAGACGCCTTCCCTGAGGCTGGGCTGGGGAAGGGCAGCCAGAACCAGGGGGTGGGCACTCGTTCTCGTTCCTGGAGGAAGGTCTCGAGTTTGGTTGGCCCCTTCTGCCCACTTTCGCCTAGAGAGGATGAACCAGGCCCAGTTCTTCCAGCAGCTTTGCAGCATCCGAACAGCTTCTGAGTTTCTGCAGCCTGCTTCCCCCAGCCTCCCTGAAACCCTGAGAGCATCATGGCTACCACACTCTCCAGCCTGCCTCTCTTCCCCTTCTCCAGGGTCTTCCGACTTCACCAGCGCTCTCCCGAACCACAGGAGCAGCAGTTCCGGGCAGCCCTTCCTCTTCATCCAGCCCCACCTCTGCGCTGAGAGTGGGCCGAACCCGTCCTAAGCACCTGGCCAAAGGGCCCCGCCCCAGCCGATGAATCAAACTCCAGGCACCCAGGCCGCCTGTCTGCAAGACGCCAACGTCCTCCACTTCCCTCCTGCCCTGAAGGGATGTAGATTCAGATCCAAAGCAAGATGGACATTGTTTTTTCCCCTTTGGGCCCAGTCTCTCTCTCTCTCTCTCCTGGGTGTGAGTCTTGGTAGGGATGTGCGTGACCCCCTTTGGCAGCCATGATGGGGAAGGCCGCCTCCTGGTCTGCTGCTGTGGACCTTCCCCTCCCCAGCGGGGATTGTTCGCAAGCCATTCCCCTCTGCTCCCTTGCTTAGCCATTCAGCTTGGCTCCTGGGTTGGCTCTCATGTGCAGTTAGCCAGATGGGGCCCTCCATGAGACAAGCCGGGGTGAAGCTGCTCCCTCCTGCTCCCTGCATCCGAGCCCGCGAGCCGGAGGGCTGTTCTTCCCATCTCCCACCCAGATGCAACGCCTGTCACCCGCCGATTGTAGCCTCAGAGTTCTGGGCTGCTTTCTCCCCTCCTGGCCCGCCCTTGTGGCCTGTGGCAGGAGGCCTCTTACACTGCTGCCAGCCACTCTCCCCCTGCCCCCTCACCCCCACGGAAGTCTCCTCTAGTGCCTGTCTTCTCTTTCCACGCCTAGAAGGTGTGTTCCTATATTTATAGTAATAAACCTTTCAATGTCAGTTTCTGGTGCCACTCTTGATTTGGAGCACAGGAATGGAGGCACTGGCCTGTCAGCCCTTTGAGGTAGTCCAGATCAGGAAACCAAAAGCATGAATTCCAATACTGCTTTTAGCGGAAGGTTGATCAGACCCTGGTTTAGGGTGCAGCTCTTCCCCGTCTGGGGCATTCCCACAGCCCGCTAGATCGCCAGCCTTTCCTGCTGCCCCAGGGGACCTTTGCAGACAGCTGGTCAATTCCGCCATAGCTTTGCAGCTTCACTTCCACCCCGGCCTTGAGGTCAGATGGCGCTTCATGGAGGTTTGGAGAGAGGATTCAATGCTTGGCATGCATTGCTGATACACAACTGTAAGCTTCCTCTGGGTTTATCTGCCCACGTGACTTGCTCACATTCACACCTGCGAAGGGCCCTTTGGTGTAGTTGAAGCAGAGGGGGATGGCCTTGCGCAGCCTCTGCAGGGCACCCTTTTCAGCTGCTGGTAGCTGCCTTAAGGGGTACCCCCCAAGGCTTCTGTCCCAGAAAGGTGCTCACGCCATTCTGTTCAGCCACCCCCAACACAGCAAGGGAAATGGCTACCGGTTTGCTTTTTACCAGCTTGGGGCTTCAGGTCCAGCACCCAGCTACTCCTAATGCCCTCTCTGGCAGCAACCCCTCTTGCCCCCTGTATGGAAACCTCACCCTTCCCCCTGGCATGGACAGGCAAGCAAGACCAGCTGGAAACAATTTCTTGACCTGCTGACCTGACCACTGAGCCCGTTTGGTCCCAGGGCCTGAGAGGCAGGCCCAATCAGGCAGGTTGCGTCTGGGGTTCAGAGGGGAGAGGCCTCTCGGTTGCAGGAAGAAGTGGCCTGTCTCCTCAGAGCTGGCTGGCTTTAGCATGCCGTCTGTGCGCCTGGCCCCACAGTGCTGGTCCTCTCGCTCACCCTGCATCACGTAAGGGTTAGCCTGCCAAGATGGCTAGGGGGGCTTGGGGAACACGTCCGTGCTCTAGAAGGGAGAGCTGTCTGCCCATGCGGTCTTCCGGGAGGAGGGTTTCGGCAACTGAATTGCCAAGAGGCGTGTTTGCTTTTAAGGGAGGGGGCTGAGCTCCTTTCCTAGGGCAGCCTAGGCAACATCAAATGCCCTTTGGGCAAACGTCGTTTTCCTTTATTAACCAATTCTGCCAAAATCCAGATTAAGGAAAAAAGCTGGGAATTTTGTTCCACAGAAAGCAGAGAAAGGGTGCTTAGGGACCACATGGGGCCAGGAGTCCGACTGAGCCATTCCCAGTCTTGCCTGTACCTACTTAGTCTTTTGGACGCCGAGTTGGACGCTTCCAGGAGTTTTGAGTGAAAGCTGCCAGAGGCCTGTCAACTCTAATTCAGTGCCATGCCTTATCCAGGCACGCAGGCTGTTTCCACACACATAACACATCCCTCTGATAATGGGCAAGGCTAGGGCTCTGACACCACTGAGTGCTTGGGAGGGGTACGCTATTCTGCCCCACAATCCTGCCCTCCAGAGTGGCAGGCTGCAGATGAACGCAGATCAAAATTTCCCTGCATCCCATTGCCTCTGGGGGACATTCAGCTCACATCCTCAGAGAAAAGCACCCCCCTCCTTCAACAGCCAGTCTTAACCCCGATTTCGCTGCTGCTGCTGCTGCTGCTGCTGCCGAGCACCCAGCAGAATTAGGTCAGCTGCTGGGGAGATTCCCACAGAAGGCTTTTCCAGCTTCATCTCCTGCTCCCTCCTGGGAATCTGCAGCCAAGGCAGGAGCCCAGATTGGTGACCTCCCCCCCAGCTGGGCCTCCACTGGGTGCAAAGCTGCTCTGGGCTGGCAGCGGAGGAGGGCAGTTCCCTGCCTTCGAAGAGGCAGGCAAGGAAGGGCAACACTTGAGACAGGCTTTCTACTTTGCTGCCTCACCAATGCAGCAGTGACACTGGCACCCCCCCACAAGGGATGCATGAAATGCATATCACCCCCAGGCATAAAGGAGTGGAAGGTCACCCCACGGGTTGCAGAGCTCACTGGGATTTTCTTCTCAAAAGGGGCATCAATCTCACAGGATTTTACTTACTGTAGAGGTTTCGAGAATTAGGCACCGGATGGCTGTAGGGCGAGAGTCCTGGAGAGCGCATTGGGCACGCTGCATTTTGCAGCCTTCGTTTCTGCACAGCAGTCAGATCCACACTGGGGGGTCTTTTATCTGTACTTTCCAACCTTACTCTTAGGGATACCCTCAGGTTCCAGCCACGGAACCCTACAGGGAGCTTTTGCAGCTCCACAAATTTCCTGGAGGGGCTCATTAAACCTGGCAGCGTTGCAAACTACTGGTCTCTTAGTATCTAATTCCAGGTACTGCACAAAAGACCAAGGCAAGGCAACGGAAGGCAGAAATCTCACGGGGCCGCTTTGCCTGGCAGAGCCCCAATTTCCCCACGCCCCCCTTTAGGAATGAGCTGGCCCTCCCCAGCCCCTTTTCTTGCTGCAGGCATTAAGGCTGCCAAGACTGCTAAGAAATGGACCGACTGGAACTGTGATAAAGATCCCTTGGTATCTTCCCCATTATGGCAATCCACAACTGCTTTCTACTTGCTGCGGCAGAGCTCAAGATTTTGAGTCTTGAGATGCTGCAGGTTAGGTCTGGCCCCCCACTATTTAATGACAGACTTCAACTCTGGCATAATTATTTCTGAAAGAATAAGTACTAGCTGAATGCAGTCCAGGACGAAAATGGAAGAACGGTCGCAAAATCTGGTCTCACTCGGTATACCCATTAAGGTCCACAACTGCTGTCCAGGTTCAGCCGTTGCTCCCAGCGCATCTCCACAAGGCTTAAAAACGATACTGGAGAATCACAAACAAAACAAACCCTTTTAATCCAAGACATTTAAAATGACTGGCTGACGTGCTGTTCAATAAATAAGGACAGAGGCCAATATGACACCTTTTGGGGGAGGAAAGATGCGGCCTCAGAGCTGAAGCATCTCTGAAGGGGCAGAATTTGCACACACAACAGGTAGGCATACAGGAACAAGAGAGATGCAATATTCAAAAATCATAACCTGAAACACAATGAAACTGCATTGTCAGGGCATCTTCGGGCAAAGGGAGATCTAAAAGCACAACATCCTTCAAGAAGGCGACACGCTACGCCTGGGATTTGAATGGTCCTTCCCGCTTTGAAGACAAGAAGCTATGTGCAAAACAGCCACGTGATCCCACAGGGCTCTGGGACAAGCCATGATGTCATCACAGGCATCATGATGTCATCTTGCCAACTGAGCAAATTCTGAATGGTGTTAACTGCATCACGACGAGCGTGATGTCACTTGCCCCGTGATGGACCCCTGGCACTTTGGGCTTCCCTAACCTTTTAGACAAGAGATACCCCAGACAGTGCAATCAGGGAGGTGAAGGGGCCCCCAGAGAAAGGCAAGGTCTGCCCAGGATGGTGCCCACTGATTCGTGTAGGCTGATTTGCCTTCAGCAGCACAACCAGGCCCCCTGCGCAGCGCAGCCACTGCCACCTGGAATCCATCAGCAACACCTTCATGCTGCTCTGAACCCTGCTAGCAACTCCTTGATCAACGCTGGAAGGTAAATGGAACACGTGGTAGATAGCACCACTCCAGCATTGGATCTGATTCTTCACAGGGTATGTCACTGCTCTATGGTGCCACCGAGCTGCCACGTTTGCCGGCCATGAGCAAGACCTCAGAGGCCAGTGCACCCAACAGAGGGAAGCAGGAGCTGCAAGTGTCCCATCCCCCCCAAGCCCTTTTCCTAAGCCCCCCAACACACACACAGAAGGTGGGGGGTCTGCCCAAACTCCCAAGGCCCAAGGAAGGCTTCCTATTCCACCACGGCCAGGACTGTCTTGGGAGTGTCAACTTTAGAGCCGAGCTGGGAAAACAGTGACCCAGGCAATATTGGGGAGCGGAGCTCCTGGAAACAAAACCATCACAGGGCAAGCAAAGGAGTGGGCCTTCACCTGGACTTCCCAGGGTCTTCCCACCCCCAATGCAAATCAGCAATTCCTGTTTAGCACTAAAGGTGTAAGCCTGCTGCTTTTTCAAGTTTGTGCAATGAGTGGTGACCAGAACCACATGCCTTCCAAAAGAGAGATCGTGCAGGCTCTATTAGGTCATGAGAGCCACCCCTGCCTAGGTGTGCAGCTCTCGGAAGATGCTACTCACCGATACTGCAGGCACAGGAGGCGGCGATGGCGGCTCCCCAGTGCCTCTTAGGGAAATGCCTGCCTTTCAAGAGGCGCACAGCATCAGGCTCAGTGCTCTGTTGCCCTTGAGACAGCTGAACCTGGTCCACGAGCGAGGGAGCAACGCTTTCCCAATGCTCTTGAGGGACCAGAAATGACATGCAAGGCTTGAACACCGGGCCCTTCACTCCAAGAGCTTACAAGGAGCGTGGGGACTCTCTTGTGCAAAACACATGGCTGGACGCACGGAGGGCCAACAGGCAGAAAGGGCTTAAAATCGCACGCTCATCTTGCCAAGAGCGGCTCAAGCCTCCTGCTTCCACTTGGAAGGAAGTGGGAGGCACATCTGCAATTGCACTCTGGGACCCAAAAGTAGGAGAGAGCAGGACACCTTCTCAGGCCTTGACTTGGGAGCATTTCCCCATCCAACTCCTCCCATACTTCCACTCCACCCCCCTTCAAGGCCCAGTCCAGACTAGAGGCAGAGCAATATACACAGGGTGCGCATGTACTTCAGCACACACACATTTCAGCATGGAAGAGCAAAAGGCTTTCCTGTGCCTTGCCTGCATCAAACGGTGAGCCAAGGGAGTCCTTCCGGCAAGGGACGTGGCGGCGACAAGCAATGACAACAATCTGGGAGGCCTCAGCTGTCAACAGTCCCCTTGGCTCCCAGTCACCTCACCAAGGATCACCAGGCAGTCCTCGGCTTGCTGCACAGCGACCCCCCATCCCAAGCATCTCCCCGCTGCACAGCGACAGAGCCCGGGCAGGGGAAGAGCAGCCGCTCCCCTCCCTTGCAGCACTGGTGCAGCAGCGCAGTGGTCATCAGCCCGCTGGTCTTTCCTCCTGCTCGGGCTAAAGATGGGAAACTAGCAGTAACAAGAGGAGAAAATCTGCCAAGTCCAGGAGGGGTTGAGGGGCGGAGCCACTGTGATCTTTTCACCATGGAGCTGTAACTTGCAGCGATGCCACGAAGGACCTCCCTAGAAGAGAACCATGATTGGCACCGTCAGTGAACAAGCATCTGCTCTGCCCGTCCCAGCCTCAAACAAGCCACTCTGCAGAAATTGAGAGGCACCCTCTGCTGGCCCTGACCATCGCCTGCTCCACCTGGGAGTGTCTCGTGACACAGAATGCTGATGAATTAACTAGCCATGGTCACGGAGGGCAAACCGCCCCAGAAACACAACCAAACTGTTGGCCTGAGCTGGGCAGGAGCTTTTTTCCAGACCAGCTGCCATGAACTGGCACATCTCTCCCTCCCTACCCCCATTTTAATGTATTACTAAAAGCAAATTTCTTTTGTGTTGGTTGCCAAGGCAGCTAAAAAAGCCATGTTTTTCTATGCAGCACTAATGGGATTCAGCAATGCCAAATTTCACTGCGTGCCCTGATCAACCAAGGCCCGAAAGTGAGGCAACTGCCAGGCCGGGCTGTAGCCTACCTTGGGATCACATGGTCCGGCTGTACTCAATGCCACTCTTGGCTGAAATGCCCGACCATGGCAAAAGGCTGCAGAGAATGCTCTGGGCTTGGCGATAAATCCGCTGGGGAATCGTGCAGGGGCTCAGATTGGCCAAAGTTGAACCAATGTGCTGAAGATAGTCGGTGCAATGCTGTTAAGGAACCCACAAGTCCAAAAGCGCAGCTAAAAGCCAGCAGCAGCAACCCAGAGGCACTGTAGCATCTCATTGTAGGAGTCTGGATGTCACAGAGACAGCGAGCATGGGCCACCCACCTCTCCACGGAAACCCAACTCAGTGCCAAGAGGTTAATGTAAACAAGATCTGCAATCCAGCTGCATTCTAGGTCATTCAGATTGTGTTCCATGGAACCTTAGAATTCTGCAAGAACTTGATGGGGTTCATTAGATAATAAGGGAGGAAAAATCATTCAAATATAGCATTATCCCTCAAGGTCTGGACAGCTGGGCTCAGCAAATTTGGGATGCCAAACTAACTATGCTTTATTTTAATTGTCAAAAAAGAACCACAACCATCCTCCTCTGAATATAAATCACTGATGAGCCAAAAGGGCATTCCAACTCTGGAATTTCTTTTCACACAGATTCATCAGCCCCTGAGAATTCAAACGATCCTGGAAGTGCTACTCCTAGAGATGCCACCGTCTTTCAAGCTCTTTCACATCTGCTGCATCTTATCTGATCATGTGGGCTTGCACGTACCCAAGAGTTCATGGGAAAATGGTGCTGAGGCAGAGTGGCTGCCACGCAGGCTAGACTATTCTAGCTCTGAGCACGATGTCCCTATCAAAAAATAAGCCTCAGCCATTGGCTTCTGCTCACCGGAACCGGGGAGGCCGTTTCTCAAAACTCAGACTAGCCAAGGGGCTGCCAGATCATTAGCAAAGGATATAAGATTGTCCACGGCGGGTGTCCACCATTGATGTATAGGACGTAAGTGAAGCCATCCTTGAGGACCCCTCTGATGGAGTAATAGTAGGGCAAGTAGTGATGCTGCTTAAAGTCTCTGTTTTCATAGAAGTGTATCGCCGTGTTGTTTGTGGTAAGGACATGCAGATAAATGGCTTTGCAGTGATCCTGGGCAGTGGTCGAAATGTGATCTTTCAGGCTTTCCAACAGAAGAGATCCTACCACCGGAGCAGCAGTGGTGTTAGAAAGGATAAGGGAGCAACATGCACACAATCCTCATTCTTCACTGCTACTATACTGGCACAGGCTCTGAACTGATCAATAGGCTGATAACTAGCCCTTTATTCTGAAGCAAGATTTGCTGCATGCCTGCCATCCCTTCTCCACTCCAAACAGGCCATACTGTTTCCATCCTCACAACCCAGGGAATCCACATTCAGTGGGGTCTTGCCAGGATAACGTTGACCAGTGGCCACAGCATTTAATTACAGAGTAAGGTCACAACAATTAAGATCTGCTTTTTGAAAAGCGCTGTGTGCATAATAAGATGTTAGCTCTTGCTCTTCTGTCCCAAGTATGTAGCCAGTTTTTTATACCATTTAAATACTTGCAAACAATACAAATATTAAAAACACGGTTACCTATGCCATGCTTTCGGAATTCTTTTACCACTCCTAGGCTTAAAATGTAAGCAACCTGAGTATCGACTGGAAAACCAGAAGCTAAAATGTCACCATCCTAGAGAGAAACTCAAGAAAAAGACACAGTGAAGAGACAGATGTATGAAGCCCATTTTTTAATCACGCTCAGTGCCCATTAGCCAAACAGCCACATCCTTCTCGTTTGGACAGGAAGGCAGG